TCCCCCAACTGGTGGTTCCCCTCTCCCTCTTTTTGTTTGTTTTTTTTTGACAGTTGCAAGATACAAGCTCCGAATAGTCCACCCACCACGATTTCCTCTGGAAAGAAAGCCCAACCCTGATGGAGATGGTGAGTCCTGGGCTCCCTGACCTGGCTGGAGGGACGCCGCAAGCCAGGGAACTGCAGTAACCATTCGTTTTCGCTCTGCATAGGTCCGGATTTTGAGCCTAACCTGTGGATGTGGGTGAACCCCAACATCGTGTACCCCCTCGGAAAGTTGGAAGTCGCAGCATATAGTAAGAAGGAAGAGCTGACAAGCACACTCTCCTCCCCTCGGCCACCCCCAAAGGATGAAGATGCCAGCTGCTCGGAGTCCACCGAAGTGGAATCGCTGCCACTTTCCTCCGGCGAGCGGAGTCCTCCCCGGAAGCGGAAACGGGCCGCCCCACTGCTTAGGGATAGCGGAAGGTCACTGGGTCAGGAAGCTACATCTGCCCTTGGGTTGGGGAGCTGTCCAGATGGTAGCTGTAGCCCACCACCCCCTTCTGCCACTGCACCCCTGGAGTAGAGGCTAAGGAGTCAGGACCAGTTCCTACTCTGTGCCCCTCTAGCTCACAGAAGAGGAGGAGGCTGAGGACCGGGATGACAGCTCCTCTGTGGCCCTCCCGTCCCCCCACAAAAGGGCCCCCCTCCAGAGACGGAGGCTTCTGCAAGCCAACAGCCAGGAGGGGAGGCTGTGGCCCCGGCCCCCTCTCAATTACTTCCATCTAATTGCCCTGGCATTAAGAAACAGTCCCCCCCGGGGCCTCAACGTGCAACAGATCTACAGTTTCACTCGGTATGTGCGGGGGCCCTGCGAAGAGGGGAAAGGGAGGGAGCCAGGGCCCTGGGTCTCAGGCTTGCCAATCCGCTGCGGGGCTGGGCTGCTGACTCAGTTTCCCCATCTGGGTCTGAGGACAAGTGCAGTCCCCATTGCCTTTCCCCTAGGCAGACACACACCCACGCGTGTACAGGACCATGGCTACTCCCATCCCCCTTGCACATCTCAAATTCTCCAACCCTTTTAAGGCCTAGTTCTCCTTTAAAAACATAAGTTCACCTGGCTCAGGTCAATGTCACCTCTCCCCACCAGATCCGCCAGGGTAAAATCTCTCCCCAAGAATTTCCCACCTGCTCCTCCTGGGGCCAAACCACCCAACACAGCTCTCTATCCCTGGGGCGTCCTGTTGAGAAGGGATCTACCTGTCCCTTGGATAGTTGGGTACACAGGGCGAAGGGGCCTGTCCCTTCCCCAGCACTAGAAGGCCTCCGGTCTCAGACTAGGAGTCCCAGGGCAGTGTCCCTCCTTCCCCAGGAGCCCTCTCCCAGGAGATGGTTGGTGTGACCCTGCCTCATTCATGCTGAGACCTCTGAGGGCGGGAGGAACCTGAGCCTGGGGTGCAGGCCGTGACCTGGGCTTCCGAGAGCGGGTTCCAGGCCCGACGGCAGGTCCTACATGGCTGGCTGCATAGTTCCAGTCCTGGGCCCAGAGACTTGAAAACTGCTGGGAGAGTGTGCACATGTGCCCAAACTCCTGAGAGGAGAATGGGGGAGAGGGGACTGCAGCACGGCCATCCCCCAGGGGATGCTTTCTCACTTTCCCTCTCTCTCTCTGAGCACACAAGCCCGATAGCAAATTAAAAAACTGAAATGAATAAACAGGTTCCCATGAGCGAGGCTCCAGGTGGGATTAGGCCAGTGTCCCTTGGGCAGAGCAGCTCTGGGCCGGGGCACAGCACCCGCCATAACAGGAGCGCTGAGGCCCTGGCCTTGGGAGAGAACAGAGTAGGGCTCCCAGAGGAACCATGCCTTTCCTTATCTTTCCTCCCATCCAGACAACACTTCCCCTTTTTCCGGACGGCTCCAGAAGGCTGGAAGAACACCATCCGGCACAACCTCTGTTTCCGAGACAGCTTTGAGAAAGTGCCAGCCAGCGTGCAGGGTGGGACCAGCACACGGCCTCGGTCCTGCCTCTGGAAGTTGACCGAGGAGGGACGCCGCCGCTTTGCAGAAGAGGCCCGTGCCTTGGCTTCCTCTCAGCTGGAAACCATCCAACGGTGCATGAGCCAGCCAGGTGTGAGGCCTCACACGCATGGACCTGCAGGGAGGGTCCCTCAGGGCCCTGGTCTGAGGCTGAGTGTGCAAGCCTGGGTCACGCCATGGGGGCAGCTTCCACAGGAAGCAGGGGGTCAGCAGTCCGAGACCCACTGATGATGCCCACCTCCCCTAGAGTTGGGACTTGTACAAGGAATGATGGGCAAACCTGGCCCTCACAGACCAGTAGCTGTGGAGAGGGGGACCACACAAGGCAGGGTGTCCAGAGGGGGCTCAATTTTCCAAGCAGTGCAGCAGGCCTCAGAGAAGAGGAGGCATTTGAGAAGGAGTAGGTCATCTGAGAGAACATTCTAGGCCTAGGAAAACTGCTGCAAAGCACAAATTCCTTTGAAATTTCTTCTTTTTTTTTTTTTTTTGAGAGGTTTCTGCTATAGGGAGCGTGCACTTGCCAGAAAGACAGAGACAGAGACAGAAAGCGAGAA